ATGCATTAATTAAATTTGTGACTGAACTCCATGGGGGAGAATTGTTTGTGTCCTGCTCTGTTTTACCCGCATTCTGCCATATATTTCATGTTATAGCTGTCTCGTATGATGACCCAGCACATCTTGTTCATTTTAAGAATACTTTCACTGCAAATTTGACAAAATGCAAAGAAGGTACCAATGTGAAATTTCTAAACATAGCTACAGCACTAGACCCAAGGTTTAAGAATCTGAAGTGCCTTCCAAAATCTGAGAGGGTGGAGGTGTGGAGCATGCTTTTAGAAGTCTTAAAAGAGCAACACTTTGTGGAAACTACAGAATCCAAATCACCAAAAAAGAAAATCAACCTTTTGCTGGTGGCATCTGACTCATGATGATGAAAATGAACATGCGTCGGTCTACACTGCTTTGGATGGTTATCAAGCAGAACCCACCATCAGTATGGACGCATGTCCCCTGGAATGGTGGTTGAAGCATGAAGGGACAAATGAATCTTTAGTGCATGTGGCATGTAAATATCTTACGACGCTAGTTACAACAGTGCCATGCAAACGCCTGTTCTCACTTTCACGTGACATTGTAAACAAGAAGCAGGCAGCATTATCTCCTACAAATGTAAACAAACTTGCTTGTCTGAGCAATTGGCAGAACAAGAAGTAGGACTGAGTGGACTTGTAGGCTCTAAAGTTTTACATGGTTTTCTTTTTGAATGCAGTTTTTTTTGTACATAATTCTACATTTTGTAAATTCAACATTCATGATAAAGAGAATGCACTACAGTACTTGTATTAGGTGAATTGAAAAATACTATTTCTTTTGTTTATGTTCAGTGCAAATATTTATAATCAAAAAATAAAGTGGGCATTGTACACTGTATTGTGTTGTAATTGAAATCAATATATTTGAAAATGTAGAAAACTTCCAAAAATATTTTTATTTTTATATATATTTTACTATTCACAGTAACTTCTACTTGAGGGTCTGCATTGTGGGTGATGACTGTCCTGGTTGAGGAGACGTAGCTATGGACTACTTCAGAGTTATTTAATATTGCCCCTTATTCAAACTTGAAGAGAGACAGTATTGAATCTGAGATTTCCCATATGAAAATGTTTCACAGTGTAACTTTTAAAAATTGGCCATATTTTATATTATCTAAATTTCATAATCATAACTGAAAATGTAGTTGCACTTCCTCCTTGAGTTTTGTTTCAATGGGGATCTGTGCTCTGACAATTTCCATTTGTTAAGGAGTCTATAACGGTGCTTTAGTTCATTAGGTGACTGATCTTAATTTGAAGAAGCTCCTAGTATGAGGTTGAGATATGAGTTTCCCATCTTAAAACACATTTATGAAAACTCTAGTTTTTGATGATGACTCTTGTGAGACCCTCCTTTTTAAAGTAAAACCACCTTGCTTGGCTTTTAAATAGATTGGGTTTTTTTAATATTGGTATTTCAGAAGACTTTGACATTTTCTTTTAACACTATTAAAGATTTTTAAACTGGGTATCAGGAATTTTGTTACACATTGGCTAATAAAATGCTTTCAAAAGAGCTTTTTTTTTCCTTTCCCTAATAGAACAAACTAAAAAAGTTAAAGAATTGATTTGGAGTGAAAATTGTATACTCCATGTAGACTAACAAATACTGTGCTTGAACAGGGTGTGGTCTGTTCTTTCATTTTCATATACACTTGCAAATCTGATAGTGTAATAGCACAGAAGTTTACACATCTTTATTTTCAACTGATTCCAGCTTAAAACTGTTTGATTTAAAGCCAAAGCCAGGTACACTTGTGAAGCAACTGCTATAGACTTAAATATACACCCACACTTATAATGTACTATATTATATACACACTGCTATATTCTTATATAGGAATATAAGAATATAGGCAAAGGAATATACTACCAACCACTTTACCAGGATGGTTATTGTGAAATGCTCTGAGAGATTAGAGAGGCTATAAAAAAAGAAAACTCAATAATAATAATATTATATCAGCTATCCGCACATTAACTGGGTACATGTCATCTCAGGATGTAATGCAGAGATAAAGTTTCTAGACACCATTAATGACTGCTTCTTGGTACCCACAAAGGGAGAGGCAATTCTTGATTTAATCCTAAGTGGAGCACAGGATCTGATCCAAGAGGTGAATATAGTTGAACTGCTCAGTAATAGTGACCATAGTATAATTAAATTTCATGTCCTTGTGGGAGGAAAAACACCAAAGAAGCTGACCACAGTGGCATTTAACTTCAGAAAGGGGAACTACACAAAAATGAAGAAGTGAGTTAAATGGAAATTGTTAGTCACAAAAGTGAAATGCCTGTAAACTGCATGGAAAATATTTTTAAAACACTGCCAAAGAGGTTCAAATTAAATGTATACCTCAAATCGGAAAATACAGTCAGAGAACCAAAAAAGTGCCACCATGGCTAAACAATGAAGTAAACGAAGCAGTTAGGGGCAAAAAGGCATTCTTTAAAAGTTGTAAGTCAGATCCTACTGAGGAAAACAGAAAGGAACATAAATTTTGGCAAATGAAGTGTAAAAGTATAATTAGGCAGGCCAAAAAAGAATTTGAAGAGCAGCTAGCAAAAGACTCAAAAACTAACAGCAAATGTATTAAGTACATTAGAAGCAGGAAGCCTGCCAAATAATCAGTGGGGCCAATAGATGATCTAAGGTGCTAAAGGAGCACTTAAGGAAGATACAGCCATTGTGGAGAAGCTAAATGAATTCTTTGCTTTGATCTTCAGTGCAGAGGATGTTAAGAAGATTCCCACACCTGAGTCAGTCTTTTTAGGTGATAAATCTGAGGAACTGTCCCAGATTGAGGGGTCAATAGAGGAGGTTTTGGAACAAATTGATAAATTAAACAGCAATAAGTCACCAGGACCTATTAAATTGCTCAACTATTGATTGTGGTATGTAACCTATTGCTTAAATCAGCCTCTGTATCAGATGACTGGACAGTAGCTAATATAATGCTGATTTTTTTTTAAAAGGCTGCAGAGGCAATCCTGGTGATTATAGGCCAGTAAGCCTAACTTCAGTACCAGGCAGATTGATTGAAACTATAGTAAAGAACAGAATTATCAGACAGAGAGATGAATGTGATTTGTCAGGGAAGAGTCAACATGGCTTTTGTAAAGGGAAATCATGCTTCACCGATTTATTAGAATTCTTTGAGGAGGTCAGTAAACATAGACAAGGGGATCCAGTGGATACAGTGTACTTAGACTTTCAGAAAGCCTTTGCCCAGGTCCCTCACTAAAGGTTCTTAAGCAAAATAAGCACTCATGGGATAAGAAGGAAGGTTCTCTCATAGTGGTGTCCCCCAGGGATTCTTTTTGGGACCAATGCTGTTCAACATTTTCATAAACGATCTGGAAAAAGGCGTAAGCAGTGAGGTAGCAAAATTTGCAGATGATACAGAATTACTCAGGATATAGAAGTTCAAAGAACTATGAAGAATTACAAAGTGATCTCTCAAAACTAGATGACTGGGCAACAATGGCAGATGAAATTCAATGTTGATAAATGCAAAGTAGCGCACATTGAAAACATAATCCCAACTATACATAGGGAGTGATGGGGTCTAAATTAGCTGTTAGTGCTCAAGAAAGAGACAGTGGAGTCATTGTGGATAGTTCTCTGCATACATCTGCTCAATGTGTGACAGCAGTCAAAAAAGCTAACAGAATGTTAGAAACAATTAGGAAAGGGATAGACCAGGGGTTCTCAAACTTCATTGGACTGCGACCCCCCTTCTGACAACAAAAATTACTACATGACCCCGAGAGAGGAGGCTGAAGTCTGAGCCCGCCCGAGCCCCACCACCCCCTCTGTGTGTGTGTGTGTGTGTGTGTGTGTGGTTGGGGGGCAAAGCCAAAGCCCAAGCCACCCCAGACGGGGGCGGCAAAGTCGAAGCCCAAGGGTTTTAGCCCCGGGGGACGGGGGGGAGCTATAGCCCGAGCCCTGTCACTCAGGGCTGAAGCTGAAGCCTGAGCCTCACCACCAGGAGCTGAAGCGAAGGTCACAGTGTCAGAGTCCCGGGCGGTTGGGCTTGGGGTTGGGCTTCGGCCCTGGGCCCCAGCAAGTCTAACGCCAGCCCTGGCAACCCCATTAAAACGGGTTGTGACCCACTTTGGGGTCCCGACCCGCAGTTTGAGAACCGCTGGGATAGATAATCCAGTAAATATAACAATGCTGCTATATAAAGTAATGGTACCACCCACACCCTGAATACTGTCTGCAGTTCTGGTCATCCCATCTCAAAAAAAGAATTGGAAAAGGTACAGAGAAGAACAACAAAAATGATTCAGGGTCTGGGTCAAAAATGATTCCATATGAGGTGAGATTAAAAAGACTGGGAATTTTTAGCTTGGAAAGAGACAACTAAGAGAGCATATAAAAGGTGACCCTACCCCTCAACAGGACCATTATGGATCCTGTCAGGTCCCTATGGCAGATCCATTTTCTCTTCCTCCCACCTCAGATTGGCAGAGAAAAATACTATGTGCCTGCCAAGGGATATAAATACTTGTTCTCCCACCCTCCTCCTGGATCCCATGCACCCCTTGAAGGAATTAACCTGAGTTCCTAGAAACTCAGGGACTTTGGAGCAACAGCTGTGCAGTTCTATATAGATCAATGAGAGGCAGATTGCATTGGGGGTATTGGGAAACAGGTACCGCTGTCCTGCCTTAGAGACAAGAAAAGAAAATCCAGTTAGAGACAGAAAAACCCAGAAATTGCAGGTCTGACCGAGCAACTGATTTTGTTTCTCAGAGAAGACAAAATTACAGGTAAGAAAATTAAGTTTTATCCATGTTGTCTTGAAGTAGTGGTCATTTTACAATATGAATAAGTCAATTGTACATGAATGTATGGGCACTAGGAGAAAAATATGAGGGACACAGGAAATATTTACTAAAACCTATTTCTTACACTAGGCATATTAATAAAGTTTAATCTTTACTTCACAGTGCAACTAATGCACCTGAAGATGATGGTCCAAATCGATATTCCCGAACAGACAGGACAGGATATAGCAGATACAGCAGGGATGCAAATTCTTCTGGGAATTCTGTACCAGGCAGTGCTTTGGAAAAGAGGATTGAAGAACTTGAAAGGGTAAATACAAATTTAACTTATGCCCAATGTTAGTTTCAAAATAAAATACTTTATAAATTCCATGAGGAGATACTAGTGCCATGCCAACTCGGTGTGGAACTCTCTCCCTCTCTAGTGGTGGCTTGGCAAGGTAGAGATTGATGAGCCTGCTACAGTCTTGGCTAAGAGATGTGTGTTTTAGCTCAGGCAGTAGAGGTTCATGCAATAAGCTCAAGAGGTCCCAGGTTTGATCGCTGATGATGACTGGGGGTCGTCAGTATTACAAAAATATTAAGCAATGGTCCTAAATTTTTAATAAAAAGTAGCAATAATTTCTTGTGAATACCAATATGCATACAGAATCAGATTGTCTGAGAAGAATGTGAAATTTGTATTATTACAAATACTAAATTGCCATTTGCCCAACCAGGGAATAATACCAAGGCTAAAGGTGATTTGATCAGAGAACCAACCACCTCCTGTTTTCCTCTCAGGCACTGAAACATAACCTAAACCCTAATCCCTTACAGATGTTTTCCTGAGCCATTGACCTGTCATATTGCTGCGGTTCCGTGCTCCCTCTGAAGTGATCCTTGTAATATAACCTACCAAATACTCTTGAATCCTTGTAGATGAAAGTTGCTAAATAAAAATATTGTTTGGGGGAGATCTTCCTTCTAAAAAGGATGGGAGTAAAACACCAGGAAGCCTTTATATATATATATTTTTAGGAATCACGGAATCCTTGAGTTAACTGAAATTGCCTTGTAATCTCTCCCTTCCAAAACTGGCTTCCTCCTAAACCAGTCAAACTACCAAAAGGATAGCAAGAGATGGGGGAGGAGTTTGAATAACTTCTTCAGTAACTGAAGCCTCATGTATGACAAATGTTTCATACACCTTTGTATTCAGGCCCATGGGTGGGTCTTCAGGCTCTTATAGGTCAAGGAGGCCAAGTAGACCTTAGTCATACATCGGAGCAATATTCTGCCTCTGAAAAGCCCACCAGCGTGATTACTTTAGGAGTTGATATTTTGATTTTAATATCCAATTTGGGCACTGTTTCAGAACTCACTATAGGATCAGGGCTTAAGTTAGAAATTGATCAGTTAAAAGCTCAGCTTTGGAGGTCATCTCACTGGTGAGCTCTTGAGGGGCAGAACAGGTCTGCTTGGCCTCCCTGAACTACAAGGGCTTGAAGACACACTGCAGGATTTGTGGGCCTAGCTATCTGAAGAAAGGAAATTTCAGGTAAGAAGCAAAATTTTCCTAATTACAGTATATTAAAACTGTCCTTTTTCAAATTTAATTTTTAGGAGTGCTGGAAGAACATTCAATTTGAGACTGTTAATTTGTGTCTTTAATAGGAACTAGCCAAGGAGAGGCAAGAAAATGTAAGATTATTGAGGATGACACAGGACAAAGAGGAACAGATTGGGAAATTGAAGGAAGAAATTGATTTATTAAACAGAGTAAGTACATGTATTACACAAGGATGAGAAAAGCTTCCAAATTCTTCCATCTCTAAGATTTAATAGACTTCTTTCTTGAAGTGGCCTATGCCCATTCCCAGTAAAGTGCCAGTGTTACAACTGGACCAGAGGAAACGTCTAGACGCAGTGCCCACTACAGTGCCTGCATGTTCCCCCTTGCTGCTCTGAATGTTCTGAGAGGCTATAAAAATGGGTAGGGCCGGGCTTAACCATTTTAGTTCCTTCCAATCACAATAATGAGGCTCCTGATCCTCTCTGCTGACACTTTGACTCAATTCTCTGGAAACTTGGTTTTCAAATACTTTTCTTACACATATTTATTGTTGTTTAAATAAAACTTTAGTTCCAGTGAATATCGGTAATTTAGATAGTTTTTAGGAATATTTTGGGCCTTTAGGGATCTTCTGCCACCTATTGCACATTCCCATACTCATGAGGGTAGATTCCAAAGCTAAGAGGCCAAAGTTTGAGAGGTGCCCCTCTATTCCTGCCACCTTCCTGGTTTCAGATACCCAGAGACTGTTTCTGAACTTTCTATGGGAATGTTATCCCGCACCTAGGTGGTCTGTCTGCAAGACTTTCACCCAAAAGGCTAGGAAGGAGCTACAGAACTGGTTGTAGGCAGTCTTCCTACTAGTGGCTCTAATGGGAAAGATGTTTGCTTTAGATACTCCTGGTTCCTTGAATGTTTTAAGTTTCGAGAGGTGTTCCTCAGGTCCTAATGCCCTTCCTAAGGACTAAGAGACCTGGCCAAATTGCTTCTCAGGTATCTGTCCCCATACATGGAGCCATATTTAAAGATTCAGCTGATAAGGATCTTATGACATGCATATCCGACTGCTAGAAAGGAACTGGCCTGTTAAGATGTTGGCTTCTGGGTGTAGACCTAAGCCTAAAGGTGTTAATAGTCATGGATCCATCACGTATGAATCTGACCACCTCCACCTACTGGCTCATTCTATTGACCAAGCCTTGTTTGAAAGCTTCAGCAGTTCCTTCAGAGTATAGGGAATCAGTCTTTCCCAGCGCCCCAGTTGATGGCCATTGCAGATCCATGGCTCCCATTTCAGTTAAGGTCCCAGGCCATGAATGGCCCTCAAACCTGGTATTGAATCCGGATGAGGGAGAATTGCAACCAGGGCCAGCTTTAGGACCTGCGGGGCCCGATTCGAATACCCGGCGGCGGTCTGGGTCTTTGGTGGCACTTCGGCAGGGTGTCCACTCCACGTCTTCCGCAGCACTGAAGGACCCCCCGTGCCGCCGAAGACCCAGAGCGGACTGCTGCCGGATGAGTAAAAAAAATTAAAAAGGCGCGGGGCCCTTTTTAAGCGTGGGGCCCGATTCCGGGGAATCGGCCTAAAGGCGGCCCTGATTGCAATTGGAACTCAGTTCTCTCTCTTTGACCCTTACACACAAGGGACAGAAGGACAGAAGCATAAAACAGATACATAGGCTTCCTTTCCTAAGAGAGAGACATTTCATCATGGTTCCAGGGCAAAAGTTAGGACTGCAGATATGGGAGTGAAAACTTCTCAAGTTTCTGTTTCCAAGTCCGTAGGCCCCCTTCAGTCTCTCTCTTTTTTTTTTAACCAACAAATCATCCCCAGTGAGGTTGCCATTACTAAGTTAGCCACTTATAACTCTGCAGGGACCTTTTCAATCTGTCACCTGTGGTGCAAATAGTCACCCACAATACCATAACAATGTTTTATGTCAATAAAAAGGGGAGGGAAGGATTCCCTCCACCCAGCAGTGAAGGGAAGTATTATCCTATGACAGTGATGCATCGTCTCTCTCTCTTATCCTGTTGCTGCCCATCTGGCAGGAAAGGACAACATGCTTGCTGGCCACATGAGCAGGAATCAGCGAGACTAGCATGAATAATCACTAAAGGATTCAGCGAGGTGTGACACTCAGTGATGCATTCTCCTTTGAACCCAGGGGAAAATGTTCCCTTTCCCATCTCTTCATCAAGACCGTCTTTATCTTAGACATGACATCAGCTGTGAGTTTCTGAACTGCAAATGCTCATTGCTGACCCCACCCTTTATGGGCTCCCATGAGGACAAAATAGTTCTTTCAGAGGCAACTAAATTTATGCACCAAGGTGGTAACTGGCTTTCATCTTAACCAAACCTTGAATCTAATAGTATTTCTTCCAAAACCACGCTCATATCCCCAGGAGGTGAGGTTGCGGATTGTAGCCTTTCATATATGTAAGTCAAAAGGGTATAGAAGGTTGCTGAGGTTACATTCAGGGCCGGCTCCAGGGTTTTTGCCGCCCCAAGCAGCGCCAAAAAAAAAAAAAGCAGCCGCGATCGCGATCTGCGCACTACCGCTGCCGCTTCAGTTTTCAGCGGCTGGTCCTTCGCTCCGAGAGGGAGTGAGGGACCCACCGCCAAAGAGCCTGGTGTGCCGCCCCTCTCCCTTGGCCGCCCCAAGCACCTGCTTGCTGGGCTGGTGCCTGGAGCCGGCCCTGATTACATTTGTGTTTTCTGGTAAAAGGCCCCTACAACCTAATGCCTGACCAATTGGATCAGGCTGTGTATTGGGGAAGGTTAATGTCCCTGTGCCAGAGGGACTGAGAGGTTGCCTTAGCACTAGATGAGTGGCCTCTATGGCTTATCTGAGGCATAACATAATAGCTGAGATCTTTAGAACTGCCTCTTAGAGCTCAATCCACCCATTCACAGAACATTATGCAATGGACCTGGCATTAGGTTCAGAATCCCAATTTGGGAGATCAGTACTACAATTACTCCTTAGCTAGTCAGCCTCATCCCACTCTTCTGAAAAGAGGATGCACTGTTTATACATTCCCACTAACGGGAGTTTATCAGAGGCCCACTCACAGAAGTACTGAAGGTTCCTTACAAATAGATAGAGTTCTTCTAATTATGCCTCTGGACATTCAAGCTATTCCTCCACCTTCCCCTTTTTCCTTAGAGACCTTTTGCTATTTACTAGGCGGTCGATTTGTGGTGGAAAGAACTGAAGCTGTTATGATGCCCCCTTTTATAGTCTAGCTCTCGGAACACTCAGAGCTGCCAACAGGCATAGGCTCACACTCCAACTTCTAGGCACCACTTCTAGAGGTTTCTGCTGGTCCTGCTGCACCAGTGATGTGTCCCCCAGTAGTGTGGGTATACAAAGGCTGTTCAAGGACTCTAGTCAGTGGTAAGTAAATCTTCACTTTTGTAACTTGTTTTTTTAACGAATCTAGAAAACTTCTTAAGTTGTGTCCCTTCTAAGTAAATTAGGTTAAATAACTTTTTACTTGCAAGATTTTTACTAAAACCAGGCAGCAGATTACGGAGAAGCTTCTAGAACAAGAGATCCCTTTGCATTGAGAACCCTGCAAAAACCTTGTGCCATAAATGGAGTTGTCTCAGTTCAATGGCTGAGCTATTTGATGAACTTCGCTACCTTTTAAAAGAAAGGGAGAATGTGTTCATAAAGTTCCCAGCTGTCTGAAAGGAAAGGCATCTGAAGATATTAAACTGTTTGTTGACTTAGTTCAACTTTGGAGTAGTTTAGAGTTGGTCATCTGTGACCTCACTGGGGAGTCACTGTAGTTAAATGTGTGTTTGGAGAGAATATATTCAGAGAGCATTTGCACTCTGATTAAAGTATCAGTTGTTTAGTCATCTGTCATTTTGGTATCTGAAGCCTACACTTCTCTGCCATTATAGTTCTTTTATAATAAACAGTATTAAATTAATAATGTAATTTTTTAAATCTAAAGTGGTAAAAGTCACTTACATGTATGCATCCATTATTATTATTTCTTTAGATATATAAACTACAGTCAGTTGTTATTACTGGATTGTATTCAAGTAGCCCATACTTACAGTAATCTTTGGAATGTTATTTTTGTAGCATAAACATTCCACAAAGTCTTTTATATTTTATCTAATTTTTGAGTAACTATGAAATATTTTTGTCCAAAGGCTTTTAAACAGTTGTTTCGATGTAATGGAGTCATCTACCATTTACTTATAGTACATAATTGGCTGAGTTAGCTTCAAAAATAAGCATAAAATTATGATTACGGAAAGCTGCACTTCAACCATTTTATTGAAAAGGTGCCGTTTCATTATTCCTTACAACTGTTTGCTCCCACTACATCTGTTGCTGACATGGACTTTGCAATAGAAAAAGCAAAGCCTACAATGGTTAGTTAAAATAAGGTGCTATGTGTTCATGCACTGTTTTTACCTCTAAATACAAATTACCAGATTTATATATCATGATTAAATGTTTGGTTCATCTGTGTCTTCAGAACAATTAAATATCATCTGTTCCAGAAAGCCAGCTGTATTTTGATATAACATCTCTAAAATGTTTGTATTTTTGTTAGGCACATAAGATGTTCTGCTGCTAATCTCTGTATTGCATGCTACATAGGACAAAAGAGTAACTGCAAAGGTACTGCAGTGTGGCTTTGAGCACTGATTGCCAAAGCCATGTTTTGGTTGGTAGGCTGGAGCTTTATACTGATGGCACAGCTAAGCACCTACGCCCAAAGGTGCACTTCTGGGATGCCCCCACCAAAAGGAACAGGCAAATTCATATGATCATTTTGTTAAGTGTGTGTTTCAAAATTAAGGGAATGGGGGAGTGGATAATCTTTCACCACTTTTTTCCCCTCCCCCTCCCATCTGACATAACTATTGTGGGGATTTCCTTGAAAAGGAAGCGGAAACCCTAATTCCCCATCTCTGGTTTTTCTCCTCCAAACTTCCACCATCCACCTCTTTTTACCTCTCACCGGGCAACTTTTCTACCTTTTCCCCTTCTCCTTCCACTTCTCTTCTTTTCCCTTCTTCTACGGCACTGCCGACCATAGCAGCTGTGCTGCCTTTCAGTTAAACTTCACTGTGGGAGCAGAAGTGAAGAAGCAAAGGAGGAAGAAGAGGCAAGCTGGCGAGAGAGATGGGGGGATGGCAGGCAGAATATTGGGCGAAGAGGGAAGGACAGACGGAAGCAGAGAAATAGGATGTCCCTTTTTTTAATCAACCCTACTGTTCTCTGGTCCCCTTACCCTCGCCTTCTGTTGAAAAAAATAAATTGGACTTCTAATTTTCAAGCCATCTAGCTATAATCAGAACTCTGACACGGGCAAGATACGGCTTTTCAACTATTTTTTCAAATAGAAAATGAGAATTGAAAGTGTGCTAACTTACTTTTCATAAGCCTCTGACAACAAACTTATATTTTAAAAAAATACATAAAATTTAATATGCTGTCCTATGCTAATAAACTGTGTGTGTGTGTGTGTGTGTGTGTGTATCTCAGTAGGCTACTAGTGCACTGTGGTGCGCGAAAGCCCCTGTATTTTGCAAATATGAAGTAACATGGGCACGTGCCAAGTGGCTTCTTATTATTAATCTCCTGACACAGTCAGTTTTTGATTATATGTTTATTTTGAAAAGAAGCTTGTCACCTGGGAATGTGAAATGAATGTTTTGTCATGACAGTAGCATTGGAAATATGTGAATTTTTAGCCATTTTTGCTTTGCTTCATTAGCCCTTTTAAATATAGATGCTGTGAAACTAACTCTTCCTCTGTCTTTGCCCTATAATCTCTTGGTTTCATGTACTGATCTCTTAAATTCCAGGACTTTTAAATTACTAGTTTAAGAATCCATTACTGCATCCTGACAAATGTTTTTATTTTTTTCCCCAAAGGACCTAGATGATATAGAGGATGAAAATGAGCAATTAAAGCAGGAAAATAAGACCCTCTTAAAAGTTGTTGGACAGCTGACAAGGTAGAAGATTCAAACCTCAATGAGGAGAGAGATTTAAAAACTACTGATTGATAAAGTCAACATTACAGTAATACTTCCTGTGTTGCAGTATGTTAAAATAACCAAGTCTTTATATTTATTATTAGGAAACCAGATGGATGTTTATTTTCATAATACATTCTTTTTCATTCAGTAAAATGGCATCAACTTTTGTGGGTATTTTTAACCTTACCTTTCACATCAAGAATAATTAACAATTGATATCTTTCAAAAACATTAAATTCATGATTGTTGTATTGGGTTTTGTCTTCTTACTACATATAATCTGGTTATAGTAGTTTAAAAATCAGAGCGCCAGGATCACTTTTGGTCTTTGTTGGGTGTATATTTTTTTCTTGAACGAAAGGAAGCAATACAAATAAGCTTTGTTTACACAGATCCAAAATATATATATTTTGGGAAATATTTTCATTTTGTTTCGACCGCTGTAAAGTATAGGTGCCTTATTGATGTGTAACATTTTGCAGATTGATTACTTGTTCTAAAATACAAATCTTGTATGTTGTGAGTTTTTTACTATATCTGAAAGACAGACCATGTTTGAGTAGCGATTTTCTTCTGTATAGCAGTTGTCTTGGGGAAAAATAAGTTTTTATTAAAATTCAATAAATCAACTGTAGTTACCAACATTAAATTTTTTTGTAACATGTCTGTTGTGCACTATAGTATATCATAATGCTTGTGCTTTAGCAGTGAAATGCAAATTTACTATCCTACAGTAAGTTTGTTTTGTGTATTGAGAATATAAACAAAGCCTGGAGCTTTCATTTTGCAAAAGTATTAAAACATAATTATATTTAAATCTACCTATTTTAAATATTTAGTGCTCATAATAAATGAGTTTTAAGGGTTTTTAAAGCTGTGATAAAGCTTGTTAGTTATCATGTATGAAAGGGAAGTTTCATAAATTATTTAGGCCTTTGAAAAACATGAAGTATGCGACATACAATAAAAACATTGAATCTTAATTGCTGCTAGTGCGTATGAAAATTAAAGCTTGCATATGCAGTTAATTTTAGCCACTTGGGGCAATATGCTAGCATTGTTTTTTAGTACAAGATGACACTTTCATGATATATAAACCACTGTCTTCAGTCACAAATAATTCTGGCCTAAAAATTCTTGCTAGACTGAAACTTATGCTTGGACTCATCCCTGATTTTAAAAAATATTTAAGGCGTTTGAGTTACAAAATCAGCTTTAAAACCTTCCTGAAGTTCCGAGCATTCTTCCTCTCATAACTTGAATATACCAGAATACAAAGTTTGAAACATCTACAGTTTTTGTTGCCTTAAAATATAAAGATAACATTAATACATAATGATGGCCATCTACAAAGATTTGCCCATAGCTTCCGTTTTGAGTTAAACAGTCTTTGTGTTTAATGAGACTAAAGAATTCTTAATTTTTTAAATCCAGGAATTATCACTCCATGTTAGATGCTTTGGTTTCATTCTGAATATTGAACAGGTTACTTTGCTTTGTTTATTTTGTATTCCAATGAGAGAGAAGAGATTGAGAGCTTAAGAAGTATTACACAGTACATTTACCTTCTAATGTGCTTGGAAGTTAGTGCTCACAGTAGGAGTGAGCCCACACAGTCTTACTCGGAGCTTAAATCCTTAATGCAGGGTTTAATTGGCACAAGGGTGAAGATCATGAGTGAGCACTAATCTATATCTTGGTCCAGCAATAATAAGTCCTTAATTTGATCACTTTTACAAAATTGGAAATTTAAACATGTAGAGGTGGGGAAAGAACAACTTTATATAATAGTCACACATGTAAGTGGGCTTAATGGATCTGAACCGAACATTGAAACTTTATTTGAAATAGCATCTATTTCCCTCTCCATTTAATCTGTAGGCAAAATTTAAGGATTTGTAGAGTGTGCTTCCAAATTTATATTTGATGTAATACCAAGAAAATTTAGATGCTTAGTGTCATACTCTGAACATACAGAGACCATAATGTCAGATATAAACAGTTATGAACTGGATATTTCTAAATTATATTTCACATAGAATCACAGAAAAATGTAGGGCAGGAAGTGATCTCAGGAGGTCATGTCGTCCAGTCCCCTATGCTGTAACAAGACCAAGTATAGTTAGACTATTCCTGACAAGTGTGTGTCTAACCTGTCCTTTAAAACCTCCAATGACGGATTACGCAACCTCCTAGGGAAGCCTATTCCAGTGCTTAACTATCTTCTTAGTTAGAAAGTTTTTCCTTGTATCTAACATAAATTTGTCTTGCTGCAGATTAAGTCCATTACTACTTGTTCTACTTTCAGTGGGACACAGAACAGTTGATAACCATCGTTGTTATAACAGTCCATAATATATTTGAAGACTGTCATCAGATCACCCCTCAAGCTTCCTTTCTCAAAACTAAATGTGCCCCCTTTTTTAACCTTTCCTCAAAGATCAGGTTTTCTAAACCTTTTATCATTTTTGTTGCTGTCCTCTAGACCCTTTCCAGTTTTTCCACTTCCTTCTTAAAGTATGGTGCACAGAACTGGACACAGTAGTCCAGCTGAGGCCTCAACATGTGAATAGAGTGGGACAATTACCTTCTGTGTCTTAAATACAACATTCTTGTTAATGCACCACAGAGTACTAGCCTTTTTCACAACTTCATCATATTACTGACTTAGTCAATGTGTGATCCACTATAACCCCCAGATCTTTTTCAAAAGTACCTAGCCTGTTGTTCCCCATTTTTGTAGTTGTTCATTTGATTTTTTTTTTTCTTCCCAAGTGTACACTTGTCTTTATTGAAGTTAATCCTGTTGGTTTCAGACTAATGTTCCAATTTGTCAAGATCATTTTGAATTCTAATTCTCGCCTCCAAAGTGCTTTCAATCCCTCATAAATTGGTATCATTTGCAAATTTTTTATAAGCATACTCTCCACTCCATTCTCCAAGTCATTAATGAAAATAATGACTAGTACCGGACCCAGGACAGACCTCTACAAGATCCTACTAGATATGTCCCAACAGTTGGATAGCAAATGATTGATAACTACTCTTGGAGTAATTTTTTAACCAGTTGTGTACCCACCTTATGGTAACTTCATCTAGACCTCACTTCCTTAGTTTGCTTATGAGAATGTCATGACTTATTTAAAAGCCTTATTAAAATCAAGATGTATCATATCTGCAACTTGCCCCCATCCATTAGGCCAGTAACCCTGTGAAAGAAGTGTATTAGGTTGGTTTGGCATGATTTGTTCTTGACAAATCCAGGCTGGCTATAACTTATAACCCTATTATCCTCTGTGCATAGAAATTGCTTAATAATTAGTTCCAGTATCTTTCCAGGTATTGAAGTTATGCTGACTGGCCTAAAATTACCTAGGTCCTTTTTGTTCCCCTTTGTCCCCTAAGGGACCTCACCCGTTGTCTGTGAGTCCTTAAAGATAATCGCTAGCGGTTCTGAGATTTCTTTGACTAGTTCTCTGAGTAACCTAGCGTGATTTCCTTCAGGCCCTAAATACATCTAACTTATCTAAATATTCTTTAACCCATTCTTTCCTTATTTTAGCTTCCTTTCTCCCCCACTTTTGTTAATATTGTTTTAAGTATCTGGTCATAATTAACCTTTTAAGTGATGACTGAAGGCATTAAAATAGTCCATTAAACACTTCAGCCTTCTTGATGTTGTCTGTTATTAGCTCTCATTCCCCATTAAGTAGAGGACCTACACTTTGCTTCATCTTTCTCGTTTCTTATGTATTTATAGAAACTCTTCTTACTGTCATTTTGTGCCTTAGCCTTTCTGATTTTTGTCCCTATATCCTTGTGCTATTCTTTTGTTACTCCTCCTTAGCAATCTGTCGATGTTTCCACTTTTTGTATGTTTCCTTTTTGATTTTCAGGTCATTAAAGAACTCCTGATGGAGGCGTATTGGTCCTTTATTCTTCTTCTGAGCTTTTCTTCGCATCAGGATAGTTTGCTCTTTTGTCTTTTAATATTGTCTCTTAGATAATCATGTATTTTCAGCCCATGAAAGAAAACAAAGCAAATGGACCAGTATTTCTCTATATCTCATTACCTCTTCATAAATTAACTTTTTTTAACGAATTAAGTAAAAGATAATGGCTGAAGTTCACAAACAATGTTTTTTCCTTTTGACACATTTAATTTGAGAGGGATTTTTTAATAGTATGGGAGAAGTATTTACAATAGACTTCCCTGGGGGCTTTTGAGGTAAAGTTTTTAACATCCTTGAAAATGACTGTGCTTCAACTCAATTACAGTGCCATCATTAAGTGTGGTCCCTTAATACAAATTGTGGGAGTTAGACAGAAAGTGGCTCATGGCATTAATGTGGCTCTGCATAAATGCACACATGTAATACCCTGCATGATCTTACACAACTGCACCATTAAGATCACCCACACTTCAGTCAACTGTCCTGTAGATCTTAAATATTTCCGGTGGAAAGTATTTCAGTCACTGCAAAAATTTATGGTAAGTTACGGTATTATCAGGCTCTTGGCAGAAGTTTGGTAGTCTCGTTCTATAGAAAAATGATGCAGTACTTAAACTGATAATATTTGTGTAGCCAATACTTTTTTATCTTAGTAGGGTATCCTTAAACTCAAACACACAGCAAGCTTTTAATCTAAGTAGTTTGGGAGGGTGTTACTTTAGCTACTCTAGTATAAGGACTTTTTGTTGATCGTTTACAGTTTGTTTATTTTCTCCTACCTACTTACTTACTGCTGGATTGTTCGGAATTAATGTAGACTGGGGTGAGTTAAATATCAGGGACACTGAAATTGAGCAATAGCTTAATAGGCCTTAAAGTGAAACCCCACCTCATTTGGGAAGGTTGTATGTTTCCTAAGCTGATCTGGATATTTTGTAGTAAGGTGAACCTAACATGCAAGAGGTTTGGTTTCGCTAATGTTCTGATATAAATTGTGCAAGTAAATTTGTGAGACAGATTTACGTACTTTCATCTCTTAAAAATGGGACCAAACTACATAGACTTAACATATTTCTTTACAATTTTTTTTTTTTTTAAACTTTGTCACCTTTGGAAATTTTAACAAATGTCGGTGTAGACTGTTAAAAGGAGATGTCTGCCCTATTAGTTTTATTATCTTATTTTCATAATGAATGGCACATGATATATTCCATAATGGATGAGCTGCCATGCATTAATGAGGTTTTTCTATGACTATGACTGTCAAGTTCTGTTGTGCAGCAGACAGATATTATGTCCGAAGACCTGAAATTTAAAATAGCACATGTAGATACTGACCACAAATGGTATGCATTAATATTTTGGGGATTTTTTTCTGAAGATAAGAAATTAATGGTATATGAATATTTTAAATCAGAGTAGCTTTTTATAATTTTTAAAAGAATTAAGCTGTCATCCTTATGCTTTGACATTACTTGATGTACTTATTAACCAACTGATAGCCCTAAAGTATCAAGCATAACCTAGCAATTTGTTTGTTATTTGTACTGAGAACTAGCTAAAGTGAATATGATTGGCATTAACATTATTCAATAATTTTAATATAGCTCAAACAAGCTGATTTTAATCTCCATCAAGTGGCATTTCAGCTTGCCTAGTGTACTGGCAACATGCAGATTTTGCTGCTGTAAGAGAGGTCAGTGTGGAAGGCTGGCGATCGCATTACTTTGTAAAATGCACTACTAACGTAGAGAGATGTAGGCTTCAACTGTTGTCTTGGAGCAAGGTCTTTGCTACTTTTTTCCAGCTGGAAGCAAAGTAATTTGGTATAGCAGCGAAGTAGAGAGGTGATTATTGGGAATTAGTGGAAATTATTGATGCAAATTTATTTTTAAATTTAGGTATTACTATCATGTTTGCCTCTCAGTATTTCTTGAGTTCATACTTCTCTGGATGAAGATGTCAGTTGTATTGATGCATTTTCATCAGTATTGATTAATAATCTAGACAGCTGGCATCACAAGCAAGTAAGATGGCCTTCTGTCATGAAGGAGAACTGCCAGAGCAAACGGTTTATTTCCCCCAACTCATTCAGATGGGAAATAAGGTGTAAAATTTTAACAATGATGGTAATTAATTATTTGGAACAATTTACCACTGGTTGTGGTAGATTCTCCAGCACTGGCAATTTTTAAATCAAGACTGGATATTTTTTCTAAAAGGTCTGATCCAGTTCAAACAAATTACTTCAGGGAAGTTCTATGGCCTGAGCTATGCAGGAGGTCAGAATAGATGAGCCCCGTGGACCCGTCTGCACTAGTATCTATGAACCCAGTGAATTCACAGTCATAATCAGCTAATGGGAAGAAAAGCATAAAAATGTGTTTTCCAACTTAAACATTTGATTATAGCATTTCTACAAACAGTAAAAAATGAAAAAATTGGTTACTGGAAGCGATCAGGTAACTTGAAGCTGTAAAAGAAAACTTCCATACCACTATAGGTCTATTCCCTGCCAATAATTTTGGTGTCAATACATGTGTAGACATGACTTATATTAGTGTTATGCATTTATGTAGAACCGCTTATAATATGTATGCAGGACAAAAATGATGTAACTATGCAGCTGATGTACCAAGTCATGAATTTAAAGTGTTAACTTACTAAAATCACTTTTTCTGTATCTCAATGTATGCCTTTCTCCTCATATTGCAACAGATGTACGTTATTCTGTTAATTTAGTCTTGTTGCTTTTATTCTTGGATTTCTGGTGTACTGTTGTTCAGGGTTGTGGTTGTGAGATTTTTTTTTTTGGGCGGAGGAAAGGAGGCAAAATTGTTATACCCACTACATTTTTCATTTAAAATTTTCAGTCCTAATCCAGTCTTAAAATTTATGTACAGTCATTTTTAAAATATAACCGTTATATGTATTTAAAAAGCTGAATCATCACTTAGTTATAAAGAACTAAATGTTTTTTATTTTTGAACATTGGCTAGTTGTGTTTTTTCCTATCTTATGATAACATTTGTTTAAAAAAAATGGTATTGAGAAATTTACTTTTGCAGGTAAGATATCCCTATTAACCTACCAATAAAGACTGTGTTCCTTTTGTCCAAATAAAAACAAAATGCTTTTAAGTCTGAGTTTGTTCTTGAATGTGTTCAAAGAGAAATAATAATATATGACTAAAATTAATACCAAATACACTAACTGTGGCCTATCATCAAAGTTGGGAAGTTCTCACATGTAAGTTGCTGTTAGTTTCATTATTTTTACTCTGAAATTACACTTCAGACCTATAGATTAAAAACAAAGTATAAATTCAGATCCAGCTACAACCTTCTTTGTGTCTGGCTACATCTAATTTCTACTTTAGAACCACCTTCCACCTCCACTTGTAGCCTTCTACTTGGTTCTTCTTTTACCCTGTATCCCATTTCACCTTCATAGACTGAAATCATGTCCTACCTTCAGTAAAGAGATCTGGAAATGCTGCTTCTAGAGCTGTAAGTCCAGTTATTTCACTTGGCTGAAGGTCTTAGAAGATGTATACAAGATGCTTCCTCCTGGAGGGTGCTGAAAGCACTGACTCCACAATACACTCAGTCCCTCTGGGACTTGCACATGTGTGAATGCTTGCACTGTGTGAGTGTGTGTGTGTGTGTGTGTACATTTGTACACGCAGAGACCTCAAGGGCAGCCTAGTGCATACACTTGTTCGTTTTTTTTTATTGTGTATCGGTGTGCAACAGTACGGAGCATTAGGGAAATGGAACCGATTTAAATGAATTATTTTGAAGCTTATAATATTGATTTTAATCTTTTGATTCAAACAATCCACTTACTACAGAAATACCACAATGATGATGATAATCAATGTGTTTAAAAACACCTGCTTGAATAAGACATGGTATGTGTTTGTATTTAATTATTGGAATTATTTTTTAAAGATAAACCTGCACAGATGGTATCACTCCTATATGGTAGTACCTTTATGAGAGACTGATGAAGGTTGTTTTGTTTTTTAACTCTGGAGCTAATCTTTCCAGTGAGGTACAATTCAGAGTTTCAAATTTTAGGTGTTTGTCTTGAGTAATTCAGAGCACTTCTGGTGCTTTGGCATCTGTTTTCATGCCACTTCAATGTCTATCTTTTGTGTCCCAGTTCTTGTTAGGAAACCTTAAGTCAAGGTGCATAGATGCCTGCTCTGCTTCTTTGCTGCCAAATTTCTTTGTTGCAATTCAACATCTATATGATCTTGGTATTGGGCACATATTTCTTTGCTTGGTCCAATATTTCCCTCAAAGCACAACTATCCACTTTTCTTTTGTAGGTTTGGAATCAGTGGAAAAAGGAAGACCATTTAACAGCTTCAAAGCACGTCTGTATGGCAAAACAACATCTCTGATTGGCAACCATTTTTGTTGTCTTGTCTGGTCAGAGTCCAACACAATTTAGAACTGATAAAAGGAAATACTTTGCACACAGTGAGTAATTAGACTGTAGAATTCATTGCCACAGGAAGCGGTTGAGGCCAAGAACTTAGAAAGATTCAAAAAGAGATTGGACATTTATATATGGATAACAAGATTGTCCAGACTTCTAATTATTATAAACTTTGGAAAGGATATTAAACCTCAGGCTTCAGGATTCAAGACAATCTCTAGCTGTTAGAAATCAGGATGAGATCTTATGTGGGGGGCAGAATTACCCTCATCTGTTTACAGACACACCCCAGGTTATGCAAGCCCAATTTACGGAAATCTGGACTTACGGAATAAGTTCCTTTTTTGCGTAATTGTCGGAGATATGTTCCCGACTTACTCAAAATCCAACTTATGCAAGGCGTTCTGGAATGGAAGGCTTGCATAAGTATTTTTACATCTTTCTCTGAAACATCTGGTATTGGCCTCTGTAGGAAAGAGAATACTGAACTAGACTGACCTCGTATCTGATCCAGTATAGCAATTTCTGTGTTCCTACAACATGCCTGAATGCCAGATATTTCTGCAGATGTCACACCACATGCTGGAGACACATAGTGAGCATCTTTTGAGTTCTCTTTGAGACATCCCAGGGAATCTCTTGTAAATTCAACACTCAGCTGGCCAGAATGCTTTGAAGGGTTAATACTCAAGGCTTAAGTCTCAGTGTCAGGACCACTCTCTCAAAGGTAAACCCAATGGGGTGGCTTTACATCCTGAAGTTCCTGCATTTATTACCAGTAAAGCTGATGACACTGCCAAGCATTGACTCATTGATGCATTCAGGACTTAAAGTCAATGGTGCTGAGTTTTGGCAATTAGCCAAGTAGGAAGTACCAAGAGAGGACCAGTTGCTTTCTGACATGTTTCTGTCAGGGTTCCTATAGTGAAGTCTCCAGATGTTTCCCTTCTGCATTTAAGTATTCAAAGTAGAGAGGTTGATGGCAGTTCTGATCTTTAGCATGTGTTCAGTGATGTAGCTTGATCACACCTGATCCTTTCTGAGACAACCAAGAAGCCCAGCTATCACCTTCATTGCATTTCTTTTGGTCTGCATTGACAGAGGATATTGTGGAGTTGGAGCACTTCTTGCACTGAGATTGATGCTTGCACCCAAGAGTTGGCATTTCTGGTTCAGGAAGTTCTGGTCTTATTGCGCCTCTTGCCATTGCCTCAAAGGTGGATCTCCCTGTAGGTCTGATTGGCTAAAAGGCATCTGGATTCCACCACGAGGTTTAGAGAAATCTCAAGCACATGCCTTAAACCACAGAACTTGCTTGGGAGGCAGGTGCAGACCTTTTTACACTTTAAAAAGGCTGCACTTACACTTTAAAAAGGCTGCACTTCATTCTCTTGGACTAGTCACTTGGGTCCCTCCGTCAGGGCAAGAGCTCTGTCTGGAAATCAGGCTTTCAGATCTAGTGTCCTTAATGGCTGTCCTCCACAGGGTACTTGTCTAGGGGATCCAAAGTCCTCATTTAGCAAGCACTCAAACTTTTCAAAAGCCTTTAGCATTTATATAGTCTTCTATTACCAGTAGCAGGCTGGGGCTTCAAGTCTGCCTCAGACAGAGGAACCTTTTATCCTGCATATCCCATGGTCACCACAGACTCCTCCACTGAACAAGGCTCAGGGCTGGACTACAAGATCCAGTTCTTTGGAGAAAGTTTTGTTTTTCTTCAAATTGCCTCTAATCCCTCCAAAATGATCTCATGCTTCTCAATATCAAAGGAAGCTGCAGTGGTAAACATCATTGTGCCACTGGGTGAAAGAAAAGAGAGGGTATTATTCCAAATAGTTCATGATAGTGCGAAAGACTGGAAAGCTCTGGCCCATCCTGGATGAAAGGGATTAAATTATCTCCCATGCCCTCCCTCCCACCCACCCCCCACCCCCCCATTTTTTTTTTTTGTAGGTCATTACCCTGGTAGCTATCATAGCTCTTCGAGAGAAGATCAGCTGGCCACGCATTCTAGCTCTTGCAGACAATTTTGTGTACATAAAGATAATTACTAAGTACTGAAAGTATCTTGTATTTGTAGTAGGGTTAAATGACTTGCCTTTTAGACTATTGTCACCATTGCATGTTCTGAGGAAATACCTGGAGGTAATAGTGGCATGCCTGCACAATCTGGAAGTGGACTGAACCTCTTAGAAAGCCCATCTAGCTGTTCATTTTGAATTGAGTTTGTTAAATAATGCTGTTGCCAAGAGGACCAATGTTATGATCTGGTTGGCCTAAAACTAGAAGGCCACATTGAGACTTACCTGCTGAGAGGAGGTCTGCCTTGCAGATGTTTCCTTCACAGATATTTGTAAAACAGCTATGTGGTTCTCCCCACGCTTTCATAAAGCATTACCGCTTGAATCCAGCCTCCACGAGGGAATCCTGGTTTAGATTTTCTGCTTCAAAACTTGTTTTGAAGGACAAAATCTGTCACCCTTGCAAAAATAAGGGATTTTTTTTTGTTTTTGTTTAATTTTGGAATGTCCTTTGTTTTGGGGTGACCAAAATTTTTTCAGTAAGGTTTTCTTCTCAAACTGTGCTCTCATTGCATAGACTTGTAAATCAATCATACCTTATATATTTTGACATGCATCTAATAGATTAAACAAACTCCTCTGTTCGCACTGTTGGTATTAGCTTTGTTGCTTCTCCTTGCAGCTTTGCTCTCATGTTCTTTTGTGCATTCCTCAAACTTCTTACTGTCCAAGAGTGGGAAACTGTTGCACAGATGGTCTCTGTTATGAAGGGGAAATTACTTGCCTACAGAGAAGCAGAATTAAATGTATCCTTTTGCAGGATTCCCACTCACATGTCCACCTATCTAAAGAGCTTGGGAGGATTTTTTTAGATTTTTTTTCCCCCTCCTGCACCTTATTGTTAGTGTATTGCATGTCAATCATCTTGAATTAACTTTTCTTTATGGAATCTTCACCTCCGGATCAGTTAAGAAACTGACTGGAATGTTTGGAGGGCAGTCCTTTATATTCAGCAGGGTTTGGTGTGCAACAGCCTTTAGAAAACCCAGCTCATGCTCTGCCCTACTATTACTGGCTTTGAGGGTCAAAAACCTTGAGAACTAAGGTCGTTTTGCCAGTCTCAAGCTCAGACTCGTCCTGAAAGATGTCTTCAGAGAATCAAAATTACGGATAATTTTTCTTTTTTCATGCCAGTTCTGCTCCTCTTTATTATGTCACTCTCATAAATGGTATGTGACCAGCTTTAATACCTGCTCCAAGAGGTCATGATGCATTCTCTCACTTTTTCATTTATAGTTTAGGCTTTCTTCAGAGAAATGTTTATATTCCTTTAATGTCAACTGTTTAGTGCTAAAACAGTTACAAGCCATCAACAGTAAAAATCTAAGTCTTAAGCAAATATTTGAGTCAAAAATTGCTACCTCACAAATCCTTAAACACAGCACCTTTTATCTCCTGGCGTCTTTGCAGAGCAAACCTGTAACTGAAGTCATCTACCACAGAGAGCAAGAAACTAAGTATACTTTGTTTTTATTGTGGTGCTGTATATTTTTAATGAAAAAGTGGACTACTGTAGCTAATGAGATATAAAATGTTGTTCAGGGAACTGAAATTGCTAGTAATCAGAAGATGATGAAAATGTATCAGACAGAAATGGCATGTCAATACGTAGGTCATGTTTAGGGTATGTCTACACTGCAATTAGATACCCATGCCTGCTGGCTCAGGCTGTGAGGCTGTTTAATTTCAGTCTAAACATTCAAGCTTAGGCTCCCAGGGTCTTACACCACAATTAAACACCCCCTTAACTGGAGCCCGAATCAACTAACACAAACCAGCCATGGGTTTTTAATTGGAGTGTATACATACCCTTAGATGTTAACACTAAGTATGTTTTCTGTCAAAAGGAAAACATGATTTAAACAGTTTTTTACAATTCACTATTTGATCATTGACTTCACTTCTTGAAATAGCTAAAAGACACACATTTGCTTCTTTGTATCACTTAACGAGTGGGCCTAGTCAAAAAAATCCAACCTTTTCTTAATCATGAATTACCAGAAGATAGTGAGGTGTTGCAGTACGCACACTGAGCACAAACATTGTGCTAAATGTCTACCATTTAACCATGTGTAACAAATCAGTATTGTTGTGCTCGTTCTTTATAACTGTGGGCATTGTATAAGGAATGTAATGATAATTTGTAAGAAAATGGGTTTTTTGGGGTGTTTCGTAAGACTACCTGAACAATCTCCAATATGGTTATTGGCATGTTGACATTGACCCATTAGTATTTATCCCTGGAACTCGGACGGATTCTGTAGACCAAGAGTCTGGAATGAAATTTTTGTTTCTCTGTACTAATTAATCCATGTTTTTGACTTAAGGCTCTTAATAACAATGATGCATTTTAGAAACATTTTAATATTTGATTGCAGCAGTGTAAGTGTGGTTGCAGTCAACCAAATATGCTTAAAGGGTTGGGAGGAGGGGAGAATACAAACTACCGAGTCTTCATGCGTTTAGACTCTTGAATAAACTTGACCAATTCTCAAATTTCTCCATGGATAAATGAAAGGAAAGATTTTAATTCTGTCTATTAGGGACATTCTCTTCCCACCTCTATTTATGTGCCTACTCCTGCTTACTGTATTCTGTAGCAAAATATACGTACAAAATGATGTGACACTTCATTACTCTGGCAGCATCAAATAGAGGGGAAAATGGGGAGCTGAAGCCCCTGTTTAATAAGGACCTGAAGCCACTCCTGCTGTCTAGTCGGTCCAGGATCCACTCCGAACAATAGTGGCTTCAGCCTTTAGTTTTCCCCTACCCTGCACAAGACTGAACTATAATTACAAGAAACCAAGAGAACAGCTCCTAGCTGCTTCTTCAAGGAATTCTTTAGAATTGTGTTTCTTAAAAATCATCTTTCTCAGTCCTGGCTGGGTTGTAGGCAGAGGAATTGGGGCTATATGCCAAATCATACTACTCTTCCTGGATATCCATACCCCTACCCCCACTCCAGCCCCAACCAATTGTCAAGGGCTTCAAACTGGCTCGGGGTGGTAATACTGTGTTTTTGACTGGGTAGTCTGTCTAAAACTGGCCCTGGTTATTTAGCATTTTATTTATCCCTTGCAGTGATGTGCTGGAGGTGGCTATTGGGTTATGGTGGGAGTCTCTTGTTAAAATTCTGTCAGAAAATTGCAGAGGAGTTGTGATTTCCCTCTCTCTGCATGCTGTAAAATAAAATGTGCCAAAGATGAATTATTCCTGGGGCTTCTGAAGACAAATGTTTTGCCTGCAGAATGTACCATGTTGCATTATGTCAGATGTTTAAAACAAAAACCAGCTCTCCCATCTTTTAAAACATAAATGGGACATAGTGTTATATTGTCAATTCATTTTATTAACTTTGATTTAATTTAAATCACATATTCTTATATGTAGGTGCTTGTGTAATAGTTTAAAATAGAGAAGAAAAGGTTTAAAATCACCCAATTAGAATATATGTAATGTACTCTTGTGTGCCTATATTTTAGGAACGAAGTATTGGCTAAATATTTGCAGTCCTGTGACACTTCCCAAGGGTACCCAGTGTGGTGAAGCACCTTTCCTCCCACCTGCCGCTAGCATAAGGAAACCTTTTCTGTGCCAGCCATGAGTCAACTCCCTGATCCCACTGGCCACAGGCACCACAAGTATTCCCCACTCAGTCTATGCAGGCTCCTGATGTCTACAAGTTAGTGATAGGTCCCTCTGGAGTCCCTGCTGCACTGGACACTTAGTGTTCACAGAGTTACTGCTTCCCCAAGAAACAATACACCCCAGCTTACCAGCTTCATCTCTGATCACTGCTCTGATTAGCACACAGCACTTAGATAAGTTTATAATGAAAACAAGTAAAAGATTTGACAAAGGACAGGGATTCAAGTGATAGCAAGTAGAAATATTGGAAACAAATGGTTACATATAAAATAAAAACAATATATATTCTAGAACCTAGACTTACTTAACTAATTACTGTCATGTCTTATAGAGAAATACTCACCCCCAGGTCCTTCCAGTGTATTACAGCCAGGCTTCCCTATGATCTTCCATTCATGAGACAAGTCACGCTATCCGCTTGCCTCCTCAGTGAAAAAGATCCCAGGTATCTCTCTCTACCCCCAGTTATACTCCCCAATCCATTGTGTTTACTAGCAAACAGTTCTGCAAACAAACACACAGATGGTACACAGGGTGCATTACATGCCAAGACAGGGATTTTTTATGGGAAACTGGTTAAAATATTGCTCACGTATCATTTATTTTATAGATTTTCATATTAAACATGTTACATTTAAGTCACCCTGGCACTATATTTTTTTTCTTAAGTGTCCAACATTAAAGATTCTTTTTGGTTTTAGAACGAACATACTTCTCTCCTCTACACTATTTTAAATTATTGCATTGAATTTGTTTTTGTCAAATAGCCATGTCCTACAGGAAATACTAAGTAGGATTAGCAACTATGCTGGCTGGTGTCGTGACCTAACACTTTTTACTACATTCTGATCATCCCTAGTATTGGCCACTAGCAAGCCATTTTTCTCCATGTATTGTAATGGTTATCTACAGTAGTTAGTGTTACAAGTAACACCTATGACTACTAAAACTGAAAGAGATTAGAGGAAAAAAAAGTTCTCTACTTTTTTCTATTTTACTATGTGTACAGTAGTTTTTATTGTTTCCGCTCTGAAATCAGTTGAGTTAATCAGTTTCTCCTGTTTTGTTTTGGGTGGTTCTTTTGCACAGCAACAGCGGGAGAAAAATATTTTGTATACATGTTTCTTTTGTGACTGTAAAACCACAAAAATGAGCAGGGGTCTCAAGAAAGGCACTTACCTAAAACCTCTTTGAATTCCTTTTTTTTTTTAAATAAACTCATTAGATTTCAAAGTTAGAGTGCCTTTACGTGCTCTCTTTCTTCAAACTCCTTTTAAAGCAGCCAGCTGCCTCTCTCAGTAACAGTCTGTCTAGCTATCTCATCCTTTTTTATTTTAAAACCTGTCTACTGCAATTTCAGAAGGCTTTCGAACACTATCAATATTTTATCTGAGAGAGTTGACAACAGATCAAATTACTTTAGACACCTTCGGCAGGAGTCCATATTCTGAAGCGGTGGTTCACAGTAGCTATAATTTACTCCACCAATGGAAGCAGCAAAGAATTTGCAGAAAACTGTTCTCCTGTAGCCTAGCAGATTTTAATGGTCTCCTAATCCAGTAGAGTAGATTGCCTTGTAGGATATATAACGGATACTGGAAATCTTTAATATTTCAGAGATGGTAGTGACTGACAAAGTTTCATGACAGCCTACATAACATGAGTGGGGTGGTTCCATTCCAGGTACAAGTACACGGCAGTGCTTCCAGAACGCTGGTAGGGTGCACAGTGAAGCGGATGTCCATGCTCTGCCTACTCAGTAGATTAATAAAGTACTCCTACTCTCCAGACGGTCCGTTTGGTACCTTTTCAACACCATTCCATTCTGTTTGTTAGTATTAGTTATTTTTATTTTAGTTTCATTTGGTTGCTGTTTTCTTGAGAGTTCCACATCACAAAAGTCTAGTTGGCAATTTTCTTCCATTGCAGTTTTTCTGTTATGCTTCATTTTACAGACATCCCTTGATTTTTTTTCTTTTAGTCTTCAAGAGCTAAACTCCCCTGAGATGCATCCAGTTATTTATATATTCTTTTATCTGCCAAAGGATATCCCAGTAGATTACCAGCTTCCCTCTTTCTTTCTCTGAGCTTTGAGAGTTCTGTAATTTTTTTGTATATTTTACTGGACTTTTAGTCTAATACGGGCAGCCTAAGGCACTGACAGAAGCGCACACAATGATGATAATATTATGAGACGCTCCTCGTGGTGCCTCTGAACACCCAACATTTTGACTCTGTTAGAAGTCCTGCGTGGTTACGCATTGGGAAGCACAGAGATGTCCAGAGCCTACGAGAAAGTAATCCACTGAGATGAAGAATGGTTACTGGTAAATAATTTTATTTTTTTCTCTTAAACCTTACACTTGCCCTGTCTTAGTAACCTGCTATGACTAGAGTGTTGAACCAACATATTACAGGGCAGAATCATTAACCAAGTGCTGATATGGGGGTCCAAAAGACAGTATGAATCAACTTCAATTCATGCAGACTGGCAACATGTCATTTTCTCCCCATCACCCCAAATCTCTGAATTTTTGTCTCTCTTTTTTTTTTTAATGCAAAATACACTATGCTCTGATACCAAGAAACAGAGCTATTGGTTGTTCTGGAGTGCTCTGAGGCAGTGAGACACAGGATATAGTTTACTAAGCACTAAAGAGAGATTCCTCCCCCCAGCACTATGGCACAAAGCCATACAAAGTTCTCCAAAGAGATTGGAACAAAACATATTTTTCCTCCTCAATTACACAAGAATTAAAATAACATACTGTTTTAAGACATAGAAAACAAATAGTACGTTGGTTTTTTTTTTTTTTTTTTTGTCTTTGCGTTTATCTGTGCAAAAAATGTCCTAATTCAGAACTGCGGTGAGGAAAGTTAATCCTATTTTGTTCCTCGAATAATCTTCCATTCCTTGGTTTGTTAAACATTCTTGGCACTTGCAAGACAAAGAAAAGATAATACATAGTTCTGAAGAATAACCTTTTCAGTACTTATAAAATCAGATCCCTGTAAAACAAGATCTTAATAGAAGTTTATAACTGAATCTTTTAAATGTCAAAATGGAAAAGTAATTTGCAGATTTTAGTGTTTTAATAAAAGTTGTTAAAAATCCACACTGTAACATAATTTACCAGTGGCAGAACAATTATACTCTTCAAGCATGTGTTAGAGGACTTGTCTCTATTAGCCTTGGCTATAGTTTAAATACATAGGAAAAAAAGGCAGCTTTGGCTATAGTTTACATTACCTAGTGCTGGAGGTCCAAGATCGCAACAAATAGGTGTGCAGATTAAACAAGTAGCTGGATTTTCTTAATAGCACGGCTATAAGGTAACAGGCTTGGAAGAGTAAGCTGCAAGACTGGTGAAAGGAAGCCTTTGAAATCAAATGAAATATAATAGAGTCAGGGAAAATGCCTAGTGGATTTATGGAGTCTCTTATCTTTCTCAATTAGTGCTTTTTTAGTCTGCTCAACTGTATTGCAGTGTTCATACGAAAAATCCCTTTTTTTGTTGCTTAAAGAATTCTAGGGTGTGTCAGCAAGAGAGGAGCTGGAATAAAGGTCAGACTGCACAACAGGTAGGGGACTCACAGTGGAGTTAGGTGCATGTGTGGGAAGATGCATTAGCTTGGGGCAATAGGAGGGGAGGAGACTCAGACATGGGATGGGCAAAGACAGTGCTGTTGGGTGAGATGTTTGTGTTGTGGAAAGCGCTGTTGTGCTAGCCAAGCAACACTGAACCTGCAAAAATGTGGTGTTTTTGGTTTAAAATCGAAATCCCGAGCTTTCTGACTCTAGGACTGTTTGTTTAGTGCAATAGGGAGTGATGGCAGTGCGAAGGGAGGTATAGAGGCAAGCGATCTTCAAGGCAAGAGATAACAAAAGGGGCAGAAAGGTAACAAATCAAAGTACAGTATTCCAAATAAAATTGATCAGGGAAGGAGTTAAAATAACAAACAAATGAAAATGGAGACAGCTAGTGAAATGCAAGGGAAGAGTGAGTGGAGCCTGTTCCAGCATCCAGCAAAAATAATAGCAGTCAAACAGTCATCCAGAATGGCCTCCACACTATACACTGAAAAGTAAGGGCCAAAGGTTCTCCTTTTCCAGGCAGTTAATTCTTTTTAGATGCTAGCGGTTTGGTCAATCTTTAGTTGATAAAAAGTCTGATGTTACTTTGTAGCGGCCTTTAGTGAAGATGGTAGCAGATGTACTATGTATATGTATTTTTAGGACACTTTGACACGTTTTTAAAAATGTAAGCAATGTGAAGCAGTGGAAAGAGAAATGAGGTGTCTCTCTGCTCCACATGGAGTGATTAAACAGGAGAACAGAAGCAACAGCAGACTCTGGATTTAGAATGAGTAATTGAAATTAGGGAGGTTTTCTGAGGATGTGTGGGTGTGTCCTTCTAGTCTTTTGTTTGAAATTCATATGTTGGGGATGGGCGAGCAGCTACGGAATGTAGGTTGCCAGGGTGGGGTGGGAGCATTGCACAGAGGTCTGTGACTCAGCATGCACTACAGGCTGCAAACAGAGTTTCCCAGGGAGTTCATGAACCAGTGAGTGAAATGTCTGGGATTTGATAATTCCACAGCAAGAGAAGAAACTCACTCTGATAACCAGGATACAGAATGGGGCATTGAGATACAGTGGTCACCAATAAATGGGCAGTATTTGCCAACACATAGCACTTAGTTCATAGAATCATAGAAGTTTAGTCTGCAGAAGAGAAGAGTGAAGGAGGTTTGATAGCAGCCTTCAAATATCTGAAGGGGGGTTCCAAAGAGGATGGAGCTCGGCTGTTCTCGGTGGTGGCAGATGACAGAACAAGGAGCAATGGTCTCAAGTTGCAGTGGGCGAAGTCTAGGTTGGATATTAGGAAACACTATTTCACTAGGAGGGTGTTGATGCACTGGAATGGGTTACCTAGGGAGGTGGTGGAATCTCCATCCTTAGAGGTTTTTAAGGCCCGGCTTGACAAAGCCCTGGCTGGGATGATTTAGTTGGTGTTGGTCTTGTCTGGATCTGTCTGGGTTAGCAGCCAAAGAAAGAATAGTGTATTGAAGTAGAAGGCAATTATATGAATCTGAAGAAATTTGGACCTCTCTGGAGATACATTTGTATAAAAAATAGTAAGATGACTCTCAGAATGCCAGACCTCTTTTTTTCCCCTTCCCTGCTGGTCCCATCCTTTCCTCCTCTCCTTATTCCTGTATGTCTTCTCCTATTTTATTATGGTTTCCCCCACCTAACATGTTATGTCTATGTAGTATTGTCTGGTCTTGTAGCTTTCCATTTGTAAAGCTGAGTAATTGCATAATTCTGTTGGTGATCCTGTGAAGCAAGCAGTATTTGCTGTAAATCATTTACCTTTTGTACTTCTCATTGTCTGCTTCTTTTTGAAAATCAATAAAATTAATCTCACACACAGAAATCTTGGACTAGCTCTCCAGATTACTTTAAAGGGCAAGTCACCGTACTCACGAGGGTGTTTCCTTGATAAAGGAGAGGGAGCTGCTGGTAGGGTGTGTTCCCTGAGAAGTCCTCAGCTCTGGATTACGCTTCCCCCTATGCATTCATGTTTACTATATAGGAGCTTGGACTTATTACCCTTTTGGATACACTGTAAAGCTCAGCTTCCCCCCAAACCCATCCCAGCATTTGGAGAGTCAATGCAAAGATAGTTCGATGGGGTTCTTTATTGGCATGGGAGAGTTGCATTCTAGACCCACATCTGATTATGACTGGAAATACAGGAAGTAAATTGTTTTGTCTTATTTTTATTTAGAATTTTATGTTTTGGAAGGGGTGCCCAGAGCTTGGGATGAGCATTCTAGAATCTGGTTTCTATATACATCTAAGTAAATAAAAAGGCAGTTAAAAAAACAGATATAACAACATTTATTTGGACTCCACCTACATTCCCTTATCCTCATGTAGCCCTAGTGTAGGGGGGCTAAATGTTACAGCAAGCCAAGTGGAAGGCCTTCACATTAGAAAAATGTCACCCTACAGCAAGCAACAATAATAAGTATAAGGCAGGAATTTCCACAATTTTCCATAATATGAACCTCACTATATAGAGTACTGTGAACACCCCCTCCTTCCACTGAGGATGGTAGATTACCCCTGTGACAACTACAGAAAATGCTTGCATAAAATGTTAACCACACTATCTATTTTTTCTCTTCCTTGCATTTCTCCTCCTGTTTGGTTTCTCTCTGAAAAAACACAAGGATCATCATATGACCCGCCAGCTCTCCATAAAACACCGGCACATACTTCTAAGGACCACCGTTGGGGAGACACTGGTATTAAGTTGTTTATGAATCTCACATCTCTTCCACATTCTGTAATATGATGAGTGGAACTGGAAGAAACAAAAGGTCAGGTTTCAGGAGGGACCTAGTCTGGTGTCATACCAAGGGAATCAGGAAAGCAAGATGGGTCAGAGGCTGCTTGCATTCGAACTCTGGAGCCCTAGAATATAACACTGGCCTCTCAGCATACTTAGTAACAATCTCTTTCCTACAACACTGCCTGTCTACTGCATGGCTTATTGCTAATGAAACAGTTCTGTGTCATGTGATGAACTGTTTGGAGAATTGTGATAAGCCTTGGAATTTAAATTCATAACTGCTAGACTCAACAGAGACCCTGGTTGTATGGCTCATTACAACAATTTGTAACTGACTAATTTCCTTCATTGTATGACAGCAGAGGTGTTAATTTCCCATTTCATTTTAAATGGTTCCTTGCAACATGTGTTAATTCCCTATGCCTAATAATCTGTTGCACCTTGTATTTAGCGGGGACACACTGGTTAACTTTGCCAGACCTGAAGAAGAGCTCTGTGAAGCTCAAAAGCTCGTCACTTTCACCAACAGATGTTGGTCCAATAAAAGATATTACCTCACCCAACTTGTCTCTCTGAAAATTGTAGACTGTGCAATAGGAGATGATATAAACTTGTGCAGATACTGCAGGATCAACATCCAAAGTCAACTTTTTTGCTTTCAATAGTCTAATTATTGTAATCATGCAGTTCAAATGAAAACATACATTTCAGACAAGACATTTCAAACAAATATTTGTTAGTGTGAGCTGGTCCATTAAGGACCAAGCTTTCTGTTAGGGTTTATGGGCTCTTTGAGACTGATTAGGAAGGGTCATACTATGGAGGATCATGTGAGGGCAGGACTACTTAAGACTTCCTGCACATCACAATGCCTTACTCAAGACAGAGATTCAAGCTGAGCAGTATATGTTGTGAGGCACTTCTTGAAGAAGAAACAGGCCTCTGGAGGGGCTTGATCTGGGAGAGCCAGGAGCAGAGTTTTCTGGAGTGGGCAATAGCTAGCTGGAAAAGCTCTTCAGCAGCCAGGGGTTTGAAGTACGTCTGGTGATTGTCTGGATCAGAGAAAATAGGGAAACACCCAAGAGGGGCTCAGCAAAGGACCATTTGAAGAGGGCCAACTCACTGAGACCTGAAGGAGTAAATGGCCATGGGAAGTAGTGGAAAGGGCAGACTTGGGCTTGGAGCAAACTACTGCCTACAGTTTAGGTTCCCATAGAGTCATAGAATATTAGGGTTGGAAGAGACCTCAGGAGGTCATCTAGTCCAACCCCCTGCTCAAAGCAGGACCAACACCAACTAAATCATCCCAGCCAGGGCTTTGTCAAACCATGCCTTAAAAACCTCTAAGGATGGAGATTCCACCACTCCCTAGGTAACCCATTCCAGTGCGTCACCACCCTCCTAGTGAAATAGAGTTACCTAATATCCAACCTAGACCTCCTGCACTGCAACTTGAGACCATTGCTGCTTGTTCTGTCATCTGCCACCACTGAGAACAGCCAAGCTCCATCCTCTTTGGAACCCCCCTTCAGGTATTTGAAGGCTGCTATCAAATCCCCCCTCATGGCTAGGACCTTCCTATGATGTCCCCTAAAGAAGCTCCTGCCTCAAGGATAAAGAGTCTTAAGACCAGAGGCAAAAGACAACTGTGCTGTGTAACACAGGGATTGTGGTCAGCTCTGATACAAAGGGAGAAGGGGAGTCCTGCATTGAGCGTGAAGGAACGATTAGCCCAGATATGGCAAAAGACATCGAGTCAACCCTGAAGAACGTGTTCCATTTGGATTTGTGTGTTTCGTTTGCATTCTTATTCTGATATGGAAAGGGAGAACCAAAGTACTAAAATCATCCTACAAACCTGGAGTTGACCAAACCAGCCAGAGAGAGACTGAGGCCTGGTGGCACCATAGAGTAAGCCACACTATCACTCTGTCATTTTGTTTAAGCTGAAATATGTTGCAGGATTACTTGGCATTACTGTTTAGAAATATTAGCTCACAGTCCATCTGCATTTTTTTTCAATGTATAAAAGGTACTATATCTTAACACAAGTTAAATATAACTACTAGAGCTATAGTAAAAGGGGTGGGTGGGTGGGAAGGCATGGGTAAAAAGAATGATGAATTTTGGCTTAGTGCTGTCTTTATGCTAAGGTAAAGGAATGCCTTTTAAACAAGAGACTTC